GTTTGGAAATGGGGGGTTGGATAGACCCCCCTATGCAGGGATGTTTGGACCTTTCAAGTCTGGCAATGGGCCGTGAGATGTTTGGGGTTGTGGAGGCTCTTAATTTTGGAGGGATTTTGAAACATGTTCTTAAATACCACATGGAGTTTAGTGTGGACTATGGAAAAGGGGCTGATTTGTCGAAAAGGGTCAAAAACATTGTTAAACTGGAGTTCCCACGAGTGAAAGGAGCAGGAGACAAAGGAAAATACAGTTATAAATATGAAGAAGAGCTGCGGAAGGGACATGGAAGAGACTTAAGGGCCTCGGATACAAGGTTACCAGGTTAATGCGCTAGATCGATGAGATAATAAGGACTGACAAAACCCGGAACCAGGAGGAAGGGACGCTGGATGAAGACTGGATTGTTTTTATTTCTTTTTTTTACTACTAGGATTGTTTTATAAAATTGATGAATGTTAGAAAAATGTTGGAACGAAATTACTTGGCTTTAGCAAAAATGTTTAAAGAATTATGTAAGAATATTATGGTTATGAGAAGTTGGTAAAAATAAGATTTAAGATTTAAGTTTTAAACTTTAAGGTTCTTTATAGTAAGATAAGATTAAAATAGATTAAGGTAATGTAATGACAGAATATTATGAAATATGGAAAGGATTTGATGCGACAATTAACAACTAGGATACAAAAAAAGGGAGGAGGAGGAGGTCAAAGAAAGAAGGTAATGACAGTTGAGGATTTGAGAATGATGGATTTGTTTTTGAGTGTTTGTGGTGTATTTTTGTTTTTTTGAATTTGTATTGTTTGATGTGGTTTGTTTTTTTCTTTTTTCTTTTTTTCTGCTTTGTTCTCTTTTGTAATTCTAAAAATTTTCAATAAATATCATTAAAAAAACAACAACAACAACCGGGAAGCAGGATCCTATCACCTTCCAGAAAGTTCCCATCAAGGGAGGGGGGCAGCAACTTTCACATCAGGCTGTGTCTTGTACAATAGCCTGCACGGCACTAGCGACATGTAAGTGTCCTTAGCAAATCTGGGAGAACTAATCTTTCTTCTGTTCTACTTTCACAGCATGATGACAAACCTTACTGCACCCACTGCTACCTTCAGCGCTTTGGACCCAGAGGTAAACTCCTATCCCATGAACCAGTTGTCCTGCACTTGCAGAGAAGAGCTACAATTCTCAGAGCCAATTCCTCTTCACATAGAACTCTGGCAATTGTATCTTTGGGAAGGGAATTGGGGTCTCCTAACAACTCTTAAACCACAGAGCCTAGGACTTGCCGATCAGAAGGTCGGCGGTTCGAATCCCTGTGATGGGGCAAGCTCCCGTTGCTCGGTCCCTGCTCCTGCCAATCTAGCAGTTCAAAAGCACGTCAATGTTCAAGTAGATAAATAGGTACCGCTCCGGTGGGAAGGTAAACAGTGTTTCCGTGCGCTGCTCTGGTTCGCCAGAAGCGGCTTAGTCTTGTTGGCCACATGACCTGGAAGCACCTGCAGAGAGAGTGGAGCACCTGCAGGCAATGGGTCCTCCATCGCCTCAGGAGCCAGAGCAGACTCAGCTGGTGCCTGCACCTGAGGATCCAGCACAGGTGAGGACCCTTCAGGCTCAAGCCCCAGCTCAGCTGGTTCTGGAGGCGGGGACTCCTGTGCAGGCTGGGATTCCTCAGGTTCAGCCTCCGAGTCCGAATCCCAGGCCATCACACCTGGGCAGCACGGGCATATGCTCCGTCACTGCCCTATTCACCTCTTACATATTCCTTGAGAGAGAGCAAGGAGATTGTGTGAAGACCCGTCATGCAATGCTGTTCTGTCTTCCATTGAACTGGCTGCATGTAACTCTTGATGATGACGTACAATTCCCAGCTGAGGCAACTCGCTGTTGTGCAAACTAGAGCTGGGTCAGGGCAAAGAGAAAACACAACACCAAATTAAATCCACAATCTTCCTGCAACGAGTCATTTGGGATTTTCTCAGAACGACCGTCAGAGAGACCTGCTAGCAATTTGTGCTTGTGGGATGATTCAGGTGACTGGGCCATCGCATGCCCACGCCAGATGGAAAGATTGGCTTGCACAGATTGAAATAAACCCCCATTTATCCTTGCAACATCAACTCCCCTGCCAAACGGACTATATAGGTCTTTTCTTGAAAGATACTACCATACATTTAAAGTGCACCACTACCCCTAAAGAAAGGGACGTGGGTCGCGCTGTGGGTTAAACCACTGAGTCTCTTGGGCTTGCTGATCAGAAGGTCAGCGGTTCGAATTCCCGTGACGGGGTGAGCTCCCATTGCTCGGTCCCTGCTCCTGCCAACCTAGCAGTTCGAAAGTACGTCAAAGTGCAAGTAGATAAATAGGCACCGCTCCGGCAGGAAGGTAAACGGCATTTCCGTGCGCTGCTCTGGTTTCGCCAGAAGCGGCTTAGTCATGCTGGCCACATGACCTGGAAGCTGTACGCTGGCTCCCTCTGCCAGTAAAGCGAGATAAGCGCCACAGACCCAGAGTCGTCTGCAACTGGACCTAATGGTCAGGGGTCCCTTTACCCCTTTACCCCTAAAGAATCCTGGCAACGTTTTTGTTAAGGGTGTTGGGAGTCGTAGCTCCATGAGGGGGTTAACTACAGTTCCCAGGATGAAATGTGCTTTGAGGTATGGTGTGTACACAGCCTATAAACCACTCATCGTCTTAATCTGTCTCTAGCTGCTTCCGTGAAAGTTCAGCCTCTTGCTTCAGGGAAACTTTTGGGGTGTGCAGCAAGAAAAAGGCGCTTGGTTTCACTTGCATCAACTTGGCCAGAAGCCAGCCTCCGCTCTGTGCCTGGCATCTGGCATAAAGGGGTGAGAAAGGTGAAAAGGAACGAGCTGCTAATTCCCTCTCCCTTCATACACGGTGGGCCTGCCACTTAGTCAGCAAGCCTTTTCCTCGCTGCAGCCAAGTGGAACATAATACCATATGTTGCTCTCCAATTATGGCGGTGGGAGAGCCCAGCTCTCTCTCAGGAGGGAAGAGGGAAGAGGTCTAGAGCAGTTCTGTTCTTCTGCTTGGTATCCATCTGGAGCAGGGTGCATGGGCAGGAAAGACACTCCGATGACCCGATAGGTAAACTGCTGTGTATGTAACACACCTTTTTTTTCTTTAATACCTTGGTAAATCCTTTTAAGAACTTGCTTCTGGCTTCTCGTAAAGAGTCAAACTTGGTATCTGATCATTCAGAATATGGTGGAATAGTGAGGATAAACATGGAAGGGCCTGGAGTGAGTTTCATTTAATCGTATGGTAAACCTAAATTATCTTGGGCCCTTTTATACTGCCTTTGTCATCATTGTTTCAGAATTGGGTCCTTCTACTTTCTGCTGTCCGTGACCCATGGCTGGGTTTGCATCCAGGTTTCTAAAGCAGCAAATTAAATTTTCAAGTACTTGGATTAGCATGCACATTTGTAATGCCTAGGTCTGGATTTTGATCTTGTGTTCAAGGTCAAGGCTTGTTTCATGGTTGAAATATTTATACCCCTTCTCTCAATTGCTATTTTTGTGTCATCTATGTGAGGTTGGTTGCATTTACTTCAGAGATCATAGATGTCTGTTCAGGGTCATTATCCTGAGTTAACAACCCTTGTTTAAACAAGAAAGAAGCCTCTTTTGGGTTGCTGCTGAGGTCCCTTTGCTTCCAGTCTTGATTCATTGTGTTCCTGCACTAAGTTCTGAACTCCATCCAGCATATCAGACCAATATAGGAAGTTGTGTTACATTAAATCATACCATTGGTTCATCTAGCAGTCTACATTGACTGACAGCAGCTCTCTAAGGTTTCTGACAGAGGTTTCTCCCCTTCCTACCTGGAGACAGGTAAACTGAATTTGGGGCCTTCTCATGCAAAGCAGATTCTCCACTATTGAGCTACAGCCCAACATCTGCTGAACATCACATGGTAGAACTGTTCCTGGACTGTGTTATTTCTGGCTGCAAGTGGGGACTGCATTACTGCATTGTTTTATTTTAAAACTCCCTGCACATAGAAAGCTAAGTAATAAGTATTCTTGCCCATCTTCCTCCTTGACTTGAAAACCCACACCTGCAAGTAATGGTTTTCAGGATCACTGAGTGTGGTCCATGTGGTGGGCTGTTTGCTAAAGAGCCTTGAGATTCAGTGGTCCAACATACCTGTATATAGGATGTTCTCTTTAGCTATCATGGCTAATGCCTGTTGATAGACCTGTTCTCTGTCAATTTGTCTAATTTTCTCACAGTGCAGCATACAAACATTAAATACCAGTATATATTATAAATAAATTCCTCAGATTCCAATGTGCCAAATAGACGTACAATAACTAGACCTATTTTACAAAATCCCCCCCAAAATGAATCAAGACAGTGAGCCAATTTTCATTTGCCAGGTCTTGGTGTTGTTTGCACTGTTTCACGGGGACTATCACTGTGTGCTTGGATTACTCTCATTGGCCGAAACATCTTGCCTCAGTCTTAGGCTACTTATATTGGCACAATGTATAACGTTATGCAACGTGAGCATAATCCTTTGCAGTCTCCCATAGGTGTATAAACTGGGATCAGATTGTGGCTTCATATGTCAAACGATATAAATAATACTGGAGCTTATGTTCATTTCGGTTTCTCGTGAGACCTGGAAGTTCAGCTGAGTCCAGGTTTTAATTGAACACTTTGGCAATGCTTCTGCAAAACTCTGAACAGGTTTAATTTCCTGGCAGGAGAAATCTTTGATAAGGATTTCAAAGGAAGAGCTGCAGATTAGGCTTGCGCACCATGTTCTACAGCATGCATCTGTGTTTTTAATTATCCGACTTTTGAATGTGAGTTTTGCTTTATGGAGAGAGAGAAAGAAAGAAAGAAAGAGAGAGAGAGAGAGTAAAATACGATTTTTCTCCCACAACGTTTTCTAAAATGTTTTATTTTTAATTTGCAAAGGAACAAGACCATCAACCACCCGCTCATCCTTTGGGGCATCGCCTTCTCCTAAGGTTCCAGCAGAAATCCGAAAGGGCTCATAGATGTCTTTCCTTGCTTATGCTGTAGAAGTAGCAATTTATAAAGTGATGTCAGCTGAAAAAGGGTGTTGCTTGAACATAACTAATAATCTAAACAAGGTCAGACAGCTTCCGTAATAGAGTTCACCCTACGTCTGGTTAACATAGCAGCTGTGATAAATATATTGTAGCAGGTTAATAGTGAACATTGTTGAAATGTATAAATGCTTGCAAAGCATCTGTAGCTTTATTTAGACTAAGATATGTGCCTATTTTGTTATATGTTGGTACTGAATAATAAAGCACTTGTGAACACCTGCATTTTGCAGTTTTGTGTCCTTCATTCAGCAACGCATCATGTAAGCCAGGGAAATCAGAAGTTGAATTAATGTCCTCATTACAGACCCACAACCAAAGATATAATTGAACTGGCTCAACATCATAAGCAACCCAAACTGTCACTTAGAAATATTCTAAGTGCAGTGAAACCCTGTGCAAATTAGAAGTATCTCACACAAACAGCCACTTCAGATTTGCAAATGAGTCTTTCATTCATTGATGTAATAAAATATATGCTAGAGGCTCGAACAATGACTCTCAAAATAATCATATGCTCCAGCATTTCATTTTGCAAAACTGGAAGCTCTGTCACACCTTGACCACTTCTTGATACTAAGATATGGGTCGAGTGAATGCGGTTTGAACTTTTGTGTTTATTCGACACAGATGTGGGCCAGTGATGTGTTTATGTGGTGACTTCAACAGAGATATGGAATAGGGAGAAGTACAGAACAGCTGGTGGAAAAGTACATGTGGCCAAAGGAACATTTTGATTGCTGCAGGTAATACAGGCAGTGTTATCTGCACAGCCATGCCTACCTTGTGTGGGACAGATATGCAGTCCAAAATAGCTCAAAATAGCTCATCCGAGACACACACAGCAGCCTTTGCAACTCCTGTGAGAGTATTCTGCCCATCTTCATCTTGAGAAACCATCTGCAAGACTGAGAGTTAGTGAGAATTGTAAAAAGCAAGCCTGCCCCACAATGTCGTTAGTGAGACAACCAGAAGCTGAACTGAGCAATAGATAACAGAAACAAGAAGATCAGCAACTACCCTGCCTAGTGTGAGCAAGGTAAATAGTACTCTTTCCAAAATCATAGAATTCTTGAGTTGGAAGAGACGCCAAGAGTCATCTAGTCCAACACCCTGCAATGCAGGAATCTCAACTAAAGCATCCATGACAGGTGGTCTTCCAACCTCTGCTTAAAAGACCTTACTGTCTCTCATGGGAGTCTGTTCCATTGTCAAACAGCTCTTACCACCAGAAAGTTCTTCTGATGTTTTTTCAACATCTCTTCTCTTGTAAAGTTGAAGCGATTGGTTTGAGTTCTACCCTCCAAAGCAGGAGAAAACAAGCTTGCTCCATCTTCCATGTGATAGCCCTTTAAATACTTGAAGATGGCTATCCCCTCTTTTCTAGGCCAAACATACCCAGCTCCTTCAATCATTCCTCATAAGGCTTAGTCTCCTGACTCTTGATCACCTTAGTTGCCCTCCTCTGCACACGTTCCAGCTTTTCAATATCTTTCCTAACTTGTGGCAGCCAGAAATGGACACAGTACTCCAAGTGTGGTCTGATCAAAGCAGAATAAAGTAGTACTATTACATCTCTTGATCTGGACACTATACTTCTGTTGACACAGCCTAGAATAGCATTAGCTTTTTTTTGCTGCTGCATCACACTGTTGACATGCTAAGCTTGTGGTCTACTACAACCCCTAGATCCTTTCCACATGTACTACTGGCAAACTAGCGATTCACCCATCCTATATTTGTGCAGCTGGTCTTCCTGCCTATATCCTTTTGTCAATCTTGTTTCCACTTTCCCTAATCAGCCTTTCTAGTTACCCAAAAGTACACATCTGGACCTTCCCTCAACCATATGGCCTTCTGAAAATGTGTGGTGCTCAGTTTTCAGACCTGTAAGATGCATGGCTTTGGATGTTTCCGTGGCTCATATTTGAGACAAGTACCTGCTGGGCTAGGGACAGAGGAAAGTAAATACCACAACTGCTTACAAAATATTCATAATAGGTTTTTAAATGGATCCTTCAAGACACTGTAAAAACACCGTGAAATATTAAAGCTGTTGTTATCGCTTCTGTAACCATAATAGCTAAATTATGACACACCATAACTTGTGGGGGGAATTATTGAAAGCATTCTTCTAAGGTGCTATTCTTCAAGGAGAGAATCTATTATGGTGACACAATAATTTTCTGTGGGTAATTTACTTCAGTGATTAAACAACAGTAATTTATTTTATTGTGGAGTGTACCTGGGGTTGAGCCAAGCCACAAAACCTGCCAGCAAGTCAGTCAACTGAGCCTAAAGGAGCAGGAGTACGAGCAGCACATTTTTACAAAATAAGTAATTAGGTTTTCACTGCCACACCTAGAAGTTGCATGGAAGTGAACAGGACTGGTCTTCAGTTTCAGCTGAAATTGCAAGCTCACCTGCAGCAGACCTGGAAGCATCATCTCAAACGTGGGCTAACTCCTTGTAATAATGAACACAGGAAAGTAAACAAAACAGGACCCCTGAGAATGAAGGAGAATGGATCAGAATGCTCAGAAGAACCCCAAAGTTTGCAGAAGTACCAAAACAAAACCCCAACCCAATTTTTTATTAAATTAAAAAAGAACTAAGGTGGCAAAAAAAAAATAAACCCCCCCAAACCCTACTCAGTGAGGACTAGAATGTTGTGAGCCTGTTGAAAGCAAACATAAAATAGAGGGGGTAAAATGCTCTGGCTGGAACAGAAGCACTCCTGTAAGGATGGAAGGAGGATATACTGCAACATTTTATTGCATTACAAAAAGAGAGAGATTTGCACAACTATTGCACATGCTGATTTACAGTGGTACCTCAGGCTATAGACGCTTCAGGTTACAGACTCCGCTAACACAGAAACAGTACCTTGGATTAAGAACTTTGCTTCAGGATGAGAACAGAAATCATGCGGCGGTGGCTCGGCAGCAGCGAGAGGCCCCATTAGCTAAAGTGGTGCTTCAGGTTAAGAACAGTTTCAGGTTAAGAACGGACCTCCAGAATGAATTAAATTCTTAACCTGAGGTACCACTGTATACTGTATGTAATGTAAGTGCAACAGAAGGTGTTCCACTTTTTGTTTTGAAATACCTTGAGAATTTCATCAAAAAATTTCTCTCCTGTATGATCATTTTAAAAAGCGTTTCCTTTGCTCATTGGTAATGATTGGTGAGAAAGTGTAAGATGTTTTCAGTACAGCGCTACGTTTAACAGCAAACACTTGTTTTAGCTTCTCTTTTCCATCTCACTCCTTCTACAGTGCTACAAGTTACAGAGGATGTGAGCTCCACTTCTTATGTCACCTGCTAAAAGCAAGAATGGCTTATACGCATGGCTCAAAGCGGGTTGTACGGAAAGGTGGGATGCAATCTTGCTCTTTTTTAGATGGTTCTTGAGCCATTCCACTTGTCAGTGGATGTCAAAATGTTGTACAGAGCAGAGTTATGCAGCACTGGTTTTTTTGGGTTGTGTTTTTTTTTTTTAAGTCAGTCAATCCAGGTCAGGGCTTCTTGTTGAACTGAGAGGGGCAAACACTTGCAAGGATGGCTTTTTGTTACCTTCAGCAGTTGAAAACCCAAACCCAATAGAGTCTGTGTTGAGCTTAAATCTTGGAAGGAAGGAGGCGGCTGTCCAGCCAAGTGCTTGCCTGCTTGCCGCACAACTGCCATTACCTGGTCACGGCTAGAAGGTGGAAATAGGCCCCCTACAGTAATGCTAGGGACGCGGGTGGCGCTGTGGGTTAAACCACAGAGCCTAGGACTTGCTGATCAGAAGGTTGGCGGTTCGAATCCCTGCGACGGGGTGAGCTCCCATTGCTCGGTCCCAGCTCCTGCCAACCTAGCAGTTCAAAAGCACATCAAAGTGCAAGTAGATAAATAGGTACCGCTCCGGCGGGAAGGTAAATGGCATTTCCGTGCACTCCTCTGGTTCGCCAGAAGCAGCTTAGTCATGCTGGCCATATGACCTGGAAGCTGTATGCCGGCTCCCTCGGCCAATAAAGCGAGATGAGTGCCGCAACCCCAGAGTCGGCCACGATTGGACCTAATGGTCAGGGGTCCCTTTACCTTTACCTTACAGTAATGCTGTTCTTTTCATGGCAAGAAAAACTGACTAATTTCAAAATACAAAGGTACTAATTCAACTTTCTTAACAAGCAGTTCAGAGGGATATAAAAACAGTCAGCAGACCACGGGCTAAATGAAGTCTGGACAAATTTGAAATGAAATCGTCCCATTTCTTCCACCATCACCTTTGAACACTGCTTAAACCTGTCTCCCTGGTGCAGTATAAGACTCAGTAGCCAAGCAATTCGTTTTAACAAGGAATGTTATGCCGTGTTAACAAGATTAGGGGAAAGGACACTTGCCCTTCCTTGATTTCTAAACCCATGGAACAGATGCTCAGGAACATCTGCTCCTCAAGCTATTTCCTCATCTGGTTTCAATCAAAGGCACCTCCTTTCTATGTCTTGCTTATATTGTACGTTGCACACGCCTCATATCTCTGAGCGATGATAAGTTCCAGGGGTGGTGCTGCAGGGTTCGGTTTCCTTTGGATGAGAAAGAACACCAGAGTCTTGTGGTGTCTATTGACACTTGGTTTATTTATAAAATTACAAGAAAAGCTTAGGGCTGGTGGTGCGGAAAGAATCCTAAGCACCGACAGCAGATCAGGACTGGTTGCTTACCGTGGATTTCCCTTCATGCAGGAGACATCCAGGACAGCAATGAGTTAATCCCTTCTGTTCCCCAGGACACATGAGCTAGCTAGAGTCACACATGGTCAGCTCCAACCTTAGTTCCAACAATAGCCAAACCAATGAAGTGGCAAAATTACAGAATGGAATCAGAATGGGCAGGGTGGAGGGCAAGGTAAAGAAAACACTCCCTCCAAAAAGGCATGAAACGAAGTATGCATCTTGCAAAGTTACCACCTGAACTGAGTGGGACCTGGAAGCCTCCTGCACCTTGCCACCCCGCCCCTGGCCAAGAAGGAACAGTCACAGCAAGTACCCCATGCTCTGTTCCTTGGTCAGCATGCAAGAGGCCTCCAGATCCGAGTGGGTGTCAGACAGGTGGCATGAATTGATGCCCAGCTGCTTAGAAGCTCTCGCTGCTCCCTCTCTCCATTCAAATTCCAAAAACAGCTGCTTCTTAGTCGATGACCCATGTTGTTGTAACCTCGCCTGTAACCAAAGATGGGAAATATTCCTCTTTGTTGTCAAAAATATATAAAGAAGAAGTTGGTTGTACCAGCAAAAGCACGACATCACCCACAACCATAGAGATCCTATTCTGAAAAATGTATTATGATGATTATGATGATTATGATTATGATTATTATTATTATTATGCCACCCATCTGAGTGGGTTGCCCTAGCCACTCTGGGAAGCTGCCAACAAATTACAACTACCGGCACTTCAAACAGGCAAAGGAGCAGATGAGCACAAGCAAGAAACCAGGCTGCATGCAAAGCTGTTGCAACATCTCCACCGGCAGCAGGGGAGTTAAAAGTGAAGACTGCAGTCTCCAGGGGCACTCCCAGAAAGTCACTATGTTTGGGTGGGATTTAATCACACACTGGCAAATTCAGGATGCACAATTTAATCATGATTAGGCAGCCAAAACAAGATAGGAAAGTAACATCAAGATGTGGGGAAAGACTTTGTAATGTGAAACCTCTCTCGGGAAATGTGGAATATATATTTGTTAAGAAGTCTAAATTTGTGACGGCAGTAAATCTGTCTTCCCCAACCTAACGCCCTCCAGGTGGTTTTTGACTACAACTCCCATGAGTTCCAGGCAGCATGTGTATACCCTTCAACATATCAAAGAGAAAAACTGGGACACCATCTTCTGGGATGCCACCTGCCTGTTTTTTTCTTGTGAGAGCATGGTGGCTATTTTTGGCGTTGTGATCTCGAGTGATTTCACACTGTGGTTTCCCCCTGAAAAAACCATGGCCCCAGAAAAAGTGATTTTTTTGGAGTGGGGGGTCACGGCTTGAAATCATGTGAGATCACAGCACCCAAAATGTCCACCGTGCTCTCACAAGAAAAAATGGAATGTTCTGGGACAGTTGAGGGGTATGCATGTAGTATCTGGGGTTGATGCGAGCTGTGGTCCAAAATATATGGTTGGGGAAGGTGGCAGTAAGAAAAACATGGTTCAAATGGCCACTCAGTGGCATATAGCAATGTAGAAAACATTTAAAATATATTAAAAGGGGGAAGAGGATTGTTGGATATGTAGTCAAACAAAAGGTTATTTATTTTTTGGCACGTGGTGGAAGTATCAGAAGGCAAAGAAAGAAACAACTAAATCTGGAGGACGGTAACAGCTGTAATCACAGACATGGTCCAGATTAACACACTGTTGGATCCAGTGAGATGTTTACTGGACTGTATAAAGGAATGCGTTCCATATGAGAAATAAAGGGCAAGTCTTGCATCTAGCTAGAGATTTATTTACTAAAACATGGGAAAGCAATCAAAGGCCGCACAGACAGAATTTACTAAGAGCGATTTGGGAACCACTGTAGTTAGTAAAACTGGCTGTGTTTATGAATAACCCACCTAAGGACACTGCTATACTTAAGAAGTGGGGAGTTCTCCTAGAGCAGACGTTTTAGGAAACAACAGAAACTAATTATGCTGGTATTAAAGGTACATACAGAGTGCTTCCAGTAAAGTTAAAGGGACCCCTGACCATTAGGTCCAGTCGTGACCGACTCTGGGGTTGCGGCGCTCATCTCGCTTTATTGGCTGAGGGAGCCCGTGTACAGCTTCCGGGTCATGTGGCCAGCATGACTAAGCCGCTTCTGGCGAACCAGAACAGCACACGGAAACGCCATTTACCTTCCCGCCGGAGCGGCACCTATTTATCTACTTGCACTTTGATGTACTTTCGAACTGCTAGGTTGGTAGGAGCAGGGACCGAGCAACGGGAGCTCACTCCGTCGCGGGGATTCGAACAGCCAACCTTCTGATCGGCAAGCCATAGGCTCTGTGGTTTAACCCACAGCGCCACCCGTGTCCACAGAGTGCTTCCACATGGGTCTTTAATGTTGGATTGGTGCTATTCTTCTTCTTCTTCTTCTTCTTCTTCTTCTTCTTCTTCTTCTTCTTCTTCTTCTTCTTCTTCTTCCCTGCCCATCTGGCCTGGTTGCCCCAGCCTCTCTCCTTGAGCATGCACTTTTTCTTTTTTTTTGAAGGGTCCGTACAACACTGTCCGCATCAAAATGCCAGCCAAAACATTTAATCCAGTCTTATCCTATCTAGAGAAAAGCCTGAAAAGGGGAGAAATGGCAGTTTTAAACTTCTCCCTCTTCCATTTCTCAGATGCTTCAAGAGAGAGATAAAGCATGCAGAGCCCTCCACTATTCCATATTACTTTCCCACAATACATTTCATTCCTGGTACCATGTGTTGTCTTCAACATGAAGTTCCAGGTTATCTTACGCACACTGAATGATACATTAACCTGTGCCAAGCCAGCCATACCATTAGCCAAGGTGAGGCAGTCATTCGAGGCAACAGATTCTTGGCTCCACAGCTATTCCAGCTTTCCTGAGCTGGTGCCCCAGAAGCAAGTGATGCTTCCTTCTTGTTGGCCTGGGCTAGCCAGCTCTCTCATCTACTCACCTTCTCCCAATGCCTGAGGGAAAGGCCTGGGCTATAAAAGCAAGCAAGCAAGCTCCCCAGTGCAACATATCAGGATTATTAAAACACCACAAGCCAATGAGCAAAAGCATTCCCGAAACTTTTCCTCAGGCTCGATGTATCAGAAAACAGCAAAACAAAAGTGGAGGGAGGGAAAGATGTTTCAGAGCAAGACGAGTGATGGGGAAACTTCAAAGCCTGTGGGTTAAGATGGAGTACGGGGTGTGTTGTGCAGAGTTAATTAGATTACATCCTGCTAGATGCAAAACAGATTTCATGTTGCACAAAAGGCTACTGGAAGGGAAGAGAAATGTCAGCTGAAAATATAAATGCCAGCAGCAATTTGGATCCGCCTCAGGTGCTAATCGGAACATGCTAATTGGAAAATAGCCCTGGCAGGGGTCTGCAAGAACCAGTCCTCTCTCCCTGCGCCTCCAACCTTCCACGTGCACTTCTTCCAGCCTGATGGATGTATAAGGGGAAATGTGCAGGTTGAGCAGGCAGTATTTTACCCAGTTACTCAGCATAAACTAAGCCCGCTTCTGCCTTCCAGTGTTCTGCTCAATGCGCTGAGATAACAGGCAAACAGCTGGATTCCTGGCAGTGCTGGATTTACATATAAGCTAAACAAGCTATAACTTAGGTGGGGCCCCAAAAAAAATTTAAAGGGAAAAAAACTGGATGTACATTTCCAAAATATAAGATAAAAAACAAATAAAATATAACCTACATATAGCAACAGTGTTTTGTGTTGTGTAGGCTCCTATGATGTAAGTAATGGGCCCTGCCTGCTAGCCTGCTCCCTAAAATATCACTGGTTTGCTCATTTCTATATATAGGGTGCCTACATTCTGCATGTGCAAATGGCTTGAGATACCTATTAAGTCCATAAATTTGACGGGGTGAGCTCCCGTTGCTCAGTCCCTGCTCCTGCCAACCTAGCAGTTCAAAAGCATGAAGTGCAAGTAGATAAATAGGTACTGCTCCAGCAAGAAGGTAAATGGTGTTTCAGTGCGCTGCTCTGTTTCGCCAGAAGCAGCTTAGTCATGCTGGCCACATGACCCGGAAGCTGTACACCGGCTCCCTTGGCCAATAAAGAAAGATGAGCGCCGCAACCCCAGAGTCATCCGCGACTGGACCTAATGGTCAGGGATGCCTTTACCCTTTACTAGGTCCATAAATTACCATATAGCATATATTCAACACAAAAAACTGCGACAATTTGTTGTTGACAAAGAACAGCTGGACATATAAAGGGCCCCATTACCTTCGGTAGCTTAGGGCCTCATCAAAGCTAAATCCGGCCCTGATTCCTGGTATGGATGTTTGAATGTTATTAACATTTTATTTCATACGGTTACAATTATTTTATCCAGTGCTTTTCTTTCTAAAAAGCTGTTTAGGGGCACTCTCAATTTGACTCAATAAATTCACCGTTTTACAGTTCAAATCAGGAAAAATAAATACAGTAAATGGACAAAATACAAAGATTCGCAAAATGTTTAGGGGTATGCGTTCCCCCCCCCAGGAAAAAACACACCTATCTACCTATCTGTCATCACAACCCTCTAGAGATTGTGGACTCTCCTTCCTTGGATGTTTTTAAGTAGAAGTTTGGGTGGCAATCCGCCATGGATGCTTTAGTTGAGATTCCTGCATTGCAGGGGGTTGGACTGGATGACCCTTGGGGTCCCTTCCAACTCGATGATTCTATATCCCACCTTTTCTCCAGGGAGCTCAAGGAGGCACACATGGTTCTCCCCCTCCTCATTTTATCCTCACAACAACCATGCAAGCTGAGTCTGAGCAGAAGCAGATTTAGGGGGATGCGACCAGTTTGCTTGCATTGGGCGCCAAATCGAGAGGACGCTGCAGGGGTACCACAACAGTGACTAAGAATGTAAGGTGAGAGGCTGGAGGGGGGAATTTTGGTGTCACACAGGGCACCGCTGAAATTTGAAAGCCCAAAGTCGGCCACTGGACCAAGACTGTGACTGACCCAAGCTCATCCAATGAACTACGTGGTTGAGAGGGGATTTGAACTCTGATCTCCCAGGTCTTCTTATTTAATAAATCGGGTCCTCCCTTAAAGAGGGCGCATATTGCGGTGAGACCTGGAAACCAACACCCTGTGTTGTGGGTGGGTACAAGTGGTCAGCCACAACACCCGATTGGTAGGTCCTTGGTGTTGTTGTTGTTTAGTCGTTTAGTCATGTCCGACTCTTCGTGACCCCATGGACCAGAGCA